TATATACGTCTAAGTCGTTTTGTCTGAAGACACCCACCAAGCCCATTTCCAAGAAGGACAATATTGTTGTAGGGAGTTAAGCTCTATTAAAAAATAACGCGAAGTGTCGCTTCAACCTATTTAGTATTTACTACATATATAGTAGGCCGCTAGAAAGTGGTACACCATGTGACGTTTGATTTGATCGATAGGCTGTGTTGTGGCGTAGTGGCCTTGGGCGACTACACTAATGTATAATATGATATGATAAGTTCAAGGTTCCAGCAGTGACGGACACATTTTTAGTGAAAGCCCTTGTAGGCTTGCTGGCAAGGGCGAGTCACGTTTACTTGTAAATTGTTAACGACACTATGAGGCACAAGCTGGTACCGTTCCCGAGAAACGGTTCTATATAATGAATGAACCGTCGACAAGCCTTTGACGTCATTCCCCACCTCGGCTCTTTACGCAGACATATTTATTCCAGACAATTTGTGCGCAGAATATTCTAAAGAAATGTCTCTGAAGTCGACACCAATTGTGCTCCCTTGGGCTTCCACCCTACCCAAGAGCCAGACACATAAATTCTAATCTCAATAGTTGTAACTTAAACTGTATTTGCTTGAGCCCTTTTATATAAATAACAGAAGCGAATTACCATAGTGTAGTACAAATAATGTCGCAACGCTTGCGTGCCGTCCTGGTACTAAAGTCAGCCATCATTTGGCACTCCTTCCGTAGGCGTAGTGCCAACAATATCATAAATGGACTGTGTTTTCCAATGCTTTGCCTTAAATTTTACATATCACCGGCATGATATTACGTTATTTGTGTACTTAGTGACTGACCTCGCCGGTGTACAAATGTACCAGTCTCTAATTTGTTGTGTTGCTTTATTTTGGCAAGCTAATGTTGCATACCACTCAGACTTAGTAATTTGTCGTTAAACCTCTATGTTTATGTCGCAAGAGAAATACTTGAAGTAAAAGTATGTATACAGCTAGTGACATTTAAATTCATCGTTAAGATTACAAACATAATCATTTCCAATGATTGACAAACCATCAGCTATCAATTATTCATATTAGTTATTGCTACTACATTATAATTACATTTGATTGCAAACTAACAGGGATAGCATTCGTCTCTGTGTATAGAAACTCCTTTCACGTAGGTAAATCAATTTTATTTCATCTCTGATATTTTGTCTTAATAAAACGTAATCAATGTTTACTTGGCAGGATTGCAATATAATATCTTGATCAATTACAATGCAAGGCTTTTACGTGGTAATTAATGTAATTACTTATTCACTTGATTACATCTGACAGGTAACAATGGCGTTGATTACTCGAAGGCTTCTCTTTCAATAGTCATTTTTGTCTAGTCAAAAAACCTTAGTTGTCTGTTTAGGTATATTTTAGACGCTCATCAGTTTTACCTTGTGCTTAGTATTTGGACATGCTTGTTGTATATGACTGCAAGTCCTATCATCTGCAGAAGAAAAATAGTTGTACACAGAAGCCTGATGCGTAGTAAAAATTAATAACCGTCAGTATCATAAGACGACGACGACAAGACTTCTCATGCATAAGAGTGCGGGTTCGAAACCTACCAAAAGATTATCTAGACACTACTGACAAACGGTGAGTGAAGACATTTTAAAGATACCTGGGCTTATAATTTTTGATTTGAAATTTGAAATCGCTAACCCGCATAGAACAAGCGTGGTGATTAATGCTCAAACCTTTTCCGTGTGAGAAGAGGCTTTGCTTAGCAGTGGACATTTATAGGCTGTTGATGATGATCAAAAAGTACCTAAGTTAATTAATTAACCAGTCCAGAATAAAACCTTGAGACGATTCTAAACACACAAATATCAATAAATAACAACTTATAACAACAAAGGACAAATATTACAATTTAGAGGTTACGTAAATGCAACTTTGTTTATCGAAATTAGATTTTCAATACCAAAAACCTACTTATATAAGGTTTATGTAACAAGCCTAATTTAATTAAACCAAGTTTTCATAAACTGAAGTTTGAGTTGATTTTGTTACAAAGTTTCAGAAACATTGAAATTCAATTATAAATGCCATTATTTATTTATACCTACACAATACTGTCACTAATTTCGTGGATAGGGCTTCATAATGTTATGTTACATGATTCGATTACATAACTATCAACACAATCGACGAAAATATGATTAATTTCAAATGTCAAAACGTGGTCAAAGTTTATAAACAAGTTTGGAGTTCCCTATTACGAAGTTAATTTTATGTTCTTAATATAAAATGGTTTTCTGAATATTTCTCTATAGTGTTTTTATTTTTAGGGTAACTCTGCACATTGTGGAGTAAACATGGGTGATTAAGATTTGTCTTAGAAATTTGTCTTATATTTGTGTTCTAAACACATAAATTCTTCTTTCCCCGATCCGTTTGTTAATTCGAGAAAGCAATGTACTTAAACAGACAAAGAAATTCATTAGCTCTATTAGAATGAATAAGACACATTTTCTATTAACCATGAGCTTAACTAATTAGTCTTAACCCCTAGAAATATACTTTCACAGACCATTTAGCCTTTCAACATTGTTATTTTTAAACATAATATGCGACGAAAATAAATAATCAAAGTCACAGAACGAACCTTGTATTGTAAAAGGTTATTCAAATGTCATGCCTTTTAATAATATGTATAAAACGTATCGATTTAATATGATTAATAAAATTGAAAATATTGTATGACGCATTTTTCTTGCCAATCTGAGCATTCACTTGAGTTTCACGTTAAGTATTTTTTGGTAATGTCAAACGTTGTCTCGCGCTAGTTTTTTGTTAGGCCGTGGTGTAACTTCGGTTAAGCCGGGTCATATATGCTGAAACATGGCTCCCCCGTGTCGGCACAGCTTGTTAATATCTCAGTATCTAGCGATTAATTACTTTAGTTCGCCAAATCAAACAATTTATTAGTTAAAAGTAATTCAGTAATAAGATAAAATATGACTATGCCTCGTTGTCAGAGTGGTCGCAAGTGCGACTGCTGGGCAAGGGGTCTCGGGTTCGATTCCCGGATCAGGCAAAGTATTACTGGGTTTTTAAAAATCTCAGTAGTAGCACGGATTCCGCAAATGTGCCCGGTATATGGCAATAGGCTCATCTCCTATTACATGGGACTCATAACATAAATAGTGAAAAGTGGGTGTTACATTGTATAGTAGCATTGAGGGCCGTAATGTGCACCTCTGCCTACTCCTTCAGGAATAATAAGGCGTGATGTTATGTTATGTTATAAAATATGATGTTGTTAAGAATCATCGCATAGGGTGTAATAATGTTAACCGTTGTCCATTAACTTAATGAGACTTTTAACCCGCATACATATTATGTGTCTTCTATTAAAATGATTATCGTGAGTTTTATATCGTAAATATACTCCCTATTAACAAGATTAGTTTGTATAATAAATTATTTAAATAAATAATTTTGTTACTATCGCTAAATTAAACTGTCAAACACCAAGCGGTCACCGGTGACCGCAACCTATTGTTCTATAATTGTGTCTATAATGACAGTACTTGACGAGTTAAGTTTTTCACACATTTCTTAGGGAAATTGGATTAGGGAAACTTATTAAGTATTGGAAAACTACATAATGTCATACATAAATGTATTTAAAATTATTATGTCCTTTCTTATCCGTATAATATAATTTACGGAGCCGCGGAGAACTTACCGTGTTGCCGGGGTTCCGGCTCGAAAGGCAGGTGTAGGGACGGGGTGGTTTTTAGTCAGTAAGAGTCTGACACTCCCTCCCGCCTCACCCAGGCGAGAGAAGTCATTCGACGATTTTCCCCCATTAAAAAAAAATGTATAATGTTAATCGGGTTCGCAATATCTACTTACTAGTACAGCAAGACTTCAGATAAAACTTTTTTAAACTCTCGCATATTTTCTCATTTTTAGAACAATAGTAATTTAAAACTGGTTTTAGTGCTTTATCGAGGTCTCTGAACTACGAATTTCATAGAATTAATTAACTATATAAAAACATTAATTCGCAACAAAGAACAAAATGTTCAAAACGAACATTTAGCAAATTAATTTTCTTTGCCAAAATTTTAAGTTTCTTAAATAAAACTTGTGTTCTTTTGCCCTGAAGCGAGAATATCACGACTAAAGTTTTATTGTTCAGCTCTTTTGGGCAATTTTCCATCTCATCTGGCTCATTATCAATAAAAACTATTCTCTGAAGAGTTCTTTGCCTAAAATGTAGACGTTTTAGTCTACTAGGTGCCCTAATTGTCACTTAAACCCAACGAAAACTTTAGGGACAAACCGTCAAGCCGACTGATGGAAACTTATAATAAGGATTTCCACTATATTGATATGTTTTCTTTTAGTGCCAAACAGTTTAAGGTCAGAGTACTAGAATCACTTACTGATTATTAAAATTGATTTTTTTTTTCGTTTTTTCGTTTTTCATTTGTTTGTATAATGCTAAATTTAATTTCATTTGATTATGCTGGCCGGTCTTATAGTGATTTCATTTTATTTTCATTTAATTTGTAAAAGTCTCAACATGTTTTTTTTTCTCTCTTTTCTGAACCATATATAACCACAAAAATTATATTATTTATCATACTTTGCCTTTCCCCTCAGGGATCAAAAGGCGTAATGTTATTTATGTTTTCTTAGTATATTTTATTAGTTATATAAGTTTGTGTGATGGTGTTTATGATTTAATTTATATTCTGTGGAAAACGCCGTTGGTTACACATTTATTGGAACTACCTATGTATTGTGTCATAATGTATCATGTAATGTGTCGCTGTTTGTTTTCCCAAATAAATAAAATAAAATAAAATAAAACCGTCAAGTCTGTTTTCTTATTTGTATTCTGGTGAAAATGTCGCCGAAAATTAAACAAAGACTAAAAACACTTGCTTTTTAACTGATAAGTAACTATTGGAGAATACGCATTTTTACAAGTATCTTTTTTCCTTTTTCCAGGTAATGAAGACTCTTCAACGTGTATTTTGAAAAGAAACTGGGAATTTTATGAGAGGTAAATTTCAAAGAAATAAATATGATTGTAACTCACAATGCTAACTATTGTTTTAAGCTTGGAAACACGCTTAAATTAAGAGCTATCATATGTACAGCACAATTAACAAAAACACTTGTACATACGCTTTAAATAGATAACGGAATTATCATTATCCTTATTAGCTTGAAACTTCATGATATGAGTAATATTTCTTTTCATTCCTAACAAAAAGATATGAAACGTCTTCATAAGAACCAAACTTTGATATGTTTATATCGTAATTTCACTTCCGTGACTGCAAAGCTTGCTTCGTGCATTTTTACTGCATTTATCATTATTGAGTTTAATACTTCCTGGCGCTTAACTACATCTGTATTAGACATTAGTTCGTGTACTGACGAAATTCTCCCTAGATATTGTAATCCGCCGGTTGAGTCACTTACTTTATTGTCGTTTCAATTAAAACCACGTTTCCTTTTTTAGTCATCCACCATTTTGTTCTCAGTAACGTTAAATTTGTTTCTATTGTGTTTACCGGTATACAGTTTTTGTTTCATTATGATTTGTCTAACGTCTAGGCGGCTTATTCATTTACTTATTTATCTACTCCTTGCTACGTAATAAGTTTCCATCTCCACGAAGGTGCACTTTAGATTCTAAATCAATATCTTCTTCCACTGCGTATCACAGAGATGCAGTATTAAATGGAGCTAATGAATTCTCTTCAACAATTCCATTAGATTTCTCAACCCAAGTTGCTGTTGCCGTTGTCGCATTCATTTGTGCTCGTTTTATTACACAAACACAGTCTTTGTTCCTTTTCTTTCTCACATCCTTAGTCATTATTTGCTTTATTTCTAATTAACTACACATTTGAACGTTCATTTTGTTTTCTACACGTTCATTATTGTTCGTCATTTTAATTGGAATTCTATTATTGAGACCAATCTTGTTAGAATTATGATTTGTATTATTAAAATCAGTTTGTTCATGTCTTATGGTTGTCAATTGTTCTTTATGTCCATCAAAATGTTTATCGTTTATTTGATTTATATCACCATGGTCAACTTCAAATAAGAAAATGAAAGCAAAGTAATAGCTTTATCAATAAGCACAGCAAACACTATCGTCAAACATGTTATTGAATTGGTTACTATTATTTTAGAATTCAGATATTAGGTTTAGATCCTAAAAATCGTGCTGGTTTATCAAGGTGATGGCCATATTGGCATTTAATATCATGTAATATTAAGCCTCTACAATCACAAACGCACATATTCAAGTAAAGGTTAACAGAAACATTCTTTGAAATAATAAAATCATCGATAGAGTACACATTGTCCATTTTCCAACTTGCATTAATAGGATCCTGTCTAACAATTATGTTGTAATTGCGGTTACTATATAAACAATAGCAATAAGGCTGATATTTGCATGAATATTGGGAGCTACGGGTGTAACTGTCTATTGGCACTCGTTCAAAGAGTTGTGAAAACAATGCTCGCTGCTATTCAGGTGGTCATTATAAGTTTATCGGTCTCATTTTGTCTGAGATGATAATGTAGCTCTTTATATACCATTGTTGTTCCTTTTAACATATCATTATCATTGTATAGCTGATTATAATAATTAGTAGCTAGCCTTTAGCTCCGCATTACAATCGAATCGAAGAACATTTAAAAATTTGAACACTTAATCGTAATATCTTAATGTCGAAACATTAATACATAAAAATTGAGATTAATTACAGATATTTCTTGCCAAGTAATACAGCGAGACTGAATTCGCGCAAAGGGCTTATCCGTCCGTAAAACTAACGTTGATAAATTGTTAGACAACTTGGTGGTAATGAATTGTAGGCGATTAAATTCACAAGCGTACTCTCAACACAGCTAGATGCTGATTAATTACAAACACCAAATAACAAATTGCTGGCCACTTTATAATTACTCTATTGTTGTTACCTAAGTTAATCCAAGTACGTAAGACTAAGTCCAGCCTCCCGGGATGATTGATTCGTATCACGATTTAATTTAAGTTTTGCGTAGTCCAATTTAGGAGTTTTTTTTTCAAGTCGCTGGTTAACGTCAGCTTTCTATTTCTGTTTATCTCCTACTGAGATAATTCGCTTTTTGCTTTCTATCTGACGAGGTTTAAGTCTTCGCTGATTACTGATTAGTTTTCTTTTGGGGTTTATTATTATTTTCAAGTAAGTTTAAGTTCTTTTGTGAGTTTATGATTAAATTCTTAGGTTTATGGTTGGTTGAAAATATGTTTATTTCTGATAGTGTTACTTGCGGCCTTTAAAACCACTGACCTACACTTAATGTGATCGATAAACTATTCAAGGCTCACAGCTTGAAAGAAAAATATGTAAATGTGGTTTTAATTTTCAATCAAGTACTAGGTTAGTTTAAAACTAAAGAAAAGTCTTATGTATCAATCACCATAATTAATTGATCATGATGACAATTGCGTCTGACAATAAGATTTACGCCTCGAATTGCTGCGATGCCATTTCGTGCGACAAGGCGTCTCCCAGGGTGACCATTCCTTCGACGACCGTCAACCGTACTAAACGTATTTTAAATTGAAAACTAGGTCGTGACATGGATCGTAAAAATAAGTATGCACTTTTGTTATTGCTTAGGAAATACAGGATTTGATGCGCGATGCGAATCAATTTAAAAGTTCTTGCGATGCGACGTCGCATGCCACTTTTGTGTACGAGCCCTTAGCTACAATATTGAAAGAAGGATAGGCAAAATCCATCACTCGCCATCAAATGGGAACACGGCTAATTTTGTTTTCTAACTACGATAGTATAATAATACACGCGCCAGTCATTCTGTTAGCACCACACGAAGTACGCGAAAAGTGAACGTTTCTGTCCATTGTTACTCAACTGCTTCAACCAGCTAGACTAAGTGGAGGTCGACAATTAATCAAAATAGATGTACTCTTGACACCTACCCGTGGGCGAACACACACGTGCCCAAATTACACGTACAGCACTGCTTAATGACTCGAAATCATTAGTAGCCAGCCTCACATTATAAACTTAGTCTAATCGATTTGAAAGTTCAAGGAAACGTTATCATAACTACGCATTTGCGTGATTTCATTGTACTTCTTATAGAACTGAATTATTTCGGCTATAAATTGATAAAATGGTGTTCAAAGAAACCGTAATTTAATGTATTTTTGTAATCATTTCCAAGACTGAGGACGTCGCCCACGCGCCGGTCGATAGCAAGGTATCTTAACCTTTTTATAATATGGTAGTCATGATTTCATATTAAAACAACAAGTTTTTTTATGTCGCAACTACTGTGACAAATCAATATTCATAGTCAAAGTTCATCTGAAGACCACGTCCAATAACCAAATGTCTTCTTTGCCTAAGCACGCTAATAAGTATTCTTGCGATTCGTAACGCCTAAGAGAAACTTAAATTCTCACTTTCCTGGTTTATATTCCTTGACACTTTCCAACTTTGAGTCAGAGCTTCCGCAAATTCCATTTGACATAATTTTCCCTGTTACCCAATTTACAAGGCAGCATTCTAATTTAAGATCATGAACCAAATCTTGCCCGAAATCCAGGCGAACATTAATCGGTCATCAGAACACAATTTTAGAGGCCCCATCGGCCATGTTGCCGTTACTGGCCATATCTCCTAAACTAGCAGCTGCCCTAAGCGATAGCAGTGCCCTCTATTACCCTCTCAGAGATAACATCGACGAGCACTCACACTGCATTATGTGGGTAATGTATGTGACCCGAGCACTATGGTATTTTGGGAGACCCTCCTACTTCAAACTCTAACAAATTGGTTTCGGAAACACTGATCCCAGAATCCCAGTTAATAACGTAACTTCAGATCTCAAGTTGCTTTGCTGTCGAGGATTTATTCAGACGAATGAATGGTTTTATTAAACTAAATTAATATTCCACAACTTTAGTTAGTCGAATCGTTTTGGTATTTGTTGGTTTACGTTCGTCTAGAACTTTGCCTGTCTGGTATTTCTATTTCTTTCATAACTTCAGACAAAAGATGACCTTTGCTGATACGAAACCAATATTTGGTCTTTACATCTTTTAAAAACTAGAGCAGTAATCGTGTTTTAAAAAATCTGTTCGTGGTAATTTTTATTATAACGTTAAACACGTATCTAATTTATAATTTACAATAACAGTGAGTACTTTCGCACTAAGAGGTAACATGTGGCGAATATTGTTTGGGATTTATTCAGATACGCATTCGTGTGGAAATTGAGAAAGATGGCAGATTGCTAGTTGGTCGAATAAGTTGTACGTAGTCTTCTCATTTCCAACATATTTTTTCCATGAGTTTGTTTATGAAGCAAAAATGATTTATCGTGCACTATTTCGTACTTTGGCTACTTACACAAAAGCAGCCATATTTATTTGTTCGAAGTTGAGCTCATTTTACGCAATACTATTTAATGTTTCTTCATTATTTTACTTTAAGTGGCATTAAAGGACTTTTTCTTTATGTTGAGTAATTGTGTGATATATTTTTATGACACTTTATTATACGACCTAGGCTCGGGTAATATTTAAGCTTTATTAATATTACATTCGAATTTATTATTCAAATGGTTCAGTTTCGAATTGCTGGATAAATTGAACGCGGTCGCGATCATGTTTTCGGGATTGGAATGATATTATATTAAACTTTTACCATTATGCATATAAATGACCAGAAATTCAGGATTATAAAATGTATTTACATAAGTTATACAAACAGTCAGATCCTGTGAATATTTCATTGATTTATATTCATTATTTTTGAAACGGTGTGTTTATAAAAATGCCATTGTTCTGATACACGTGAACACTTTTCTTTATCCTTATTTATTTTCCGTACTGCATGCGTGTATGATTCAAGTTTCAATTCCCCGTCCGTTATGAGTAAGATTGATTAAAAATAACTCGGAGAAGCTCGAAATAAGTAACCTGTTTTGAACACATTAGAAATCTAATATTAGGTG